AACACAAATTACTGCACATACAGAATTAGGACTTAAAAGAAGCAGCATCATTTACCTATGGTATGGCCTAATGTAGCCTTGCATGTATAATATGCATCACAGTCACAGTTAAATTAACACTGGATATTAGATCCTCTTTTTTTTTTTTTTTTTTCTAAATTGAGCAAGCAAACCTTTTAGTTTGATCATAGTGATGCCCAAACCACATCTACCTGCAATTGAATCAGTTTAGTAGTACTTAGTGGTTTAGCATTAAAATATTCATTTTAATATTTAGAGTTTCATATGCTTTACATCAACTCTGGTGTGCATCTTTCCTTTTTGCCACTTGAGCAGCAAAACAACCCACAAAATGTGTCAGGAAAACGTCCTCCAGTCTAGGAACACGGGGGCTGGGGTTGTTCAATCAGTAAAAGGAGCTGGCAACCCAAATATCTCCAATGTTACTGTGCACAGTGCACTAGAACTTCCAATTCGATTAGTCACAGCTGGCCAGACACCTACCACAGTTATTTTAAAATAGTTCCTCATGCATTCTGAAGTCCCTGGATCTCTAATGCCTTCAGGAGCCCTCTGTAAAGACTTAGCACACTGTCACTGATCCTGTCACTGCACTTCACTCAATTCTGCATCCCCACAAGGCGGTAACTACTATCAGGCTCGAGAAGTAAACACACCTCTTTGACTAATGAGGCTCCCATTTACGTTCCAACTAGAAGGGTGCCAATCCTTTGGGGAGGGTCTGGCCATCTGCCTGCCGGCGAGGCTTCCACTACATTACATGATATATTTATGGTACAGCCCAAAAAGGGAATTCTGGCTGTAGCTCATTACGACAGCAAGAGCCGCTGAAATTTGCTTGGATCCTGTAGTGCTGAGAATTATTCATATTATATAGGGTGAGAAATATGCTGCTCTGTCTCTTGTTCAAAGAAGTTTCACCTTAACTGTTCCAGAATTATATATAACTGGAATTTCCAAACAGTAATGAGGATTGGGAAGACATTTTAAGCAATCTGAAGTCAGATTGAAGACTCAGAAGGACCTTCTGTAAAAAGAGCAGTTTGTCTTTTTATTTTTGTTTATTTTTTTAACATCACCACGACTTATGTTAGTAAAGAGATATAAAAAAGAGAAGACAAGCCAAAATATTAAGTTTCAGTGCAAAGACTAAATATCTTCCCCTCAAGCTACAAACTTTTCAACTAGCCCAGATACCTAAGAATTCAGAAGAACAGCATGATGTCCAGTAATCACCCTTCACATAGGCAAGTTCAACATTTGCCCTCAAATTACATCTATTGCAATCCATAGAAATGCCTATGGATGAAGAATAATAAATAAACAAGTGCCTTATAAATACGTAAAGTGTTGTTTCACCATGAGAGCCTGGTCAACATGCAAAGGCTGCAACTCCTTTGCGTGTTGTCATGAAACATGGTTAAAGCAATACATAAATGCTAGCCTTTTTGCCTGTTGTAGTTATTAGACAGTTGAGAAGAACTTATAAAACTCTGGAGAGAAGAACTCTCCAGATTGCCAATGGTTGTAACAAGGTTTTTCTAAATTTCTTCTTGACATAATATTCTATATTTGACTGCCAAATTTATCTCTGACCCTGAATTTTATGAAGCATTTTGACCTATTCCTCATACAGAATTCTCCTATCTGTAGCAAATATGTAAGACTCGACAGAGACAATAACTACATTATGTTCTGCTGGGAAAATAAAGAAGTCCTGGAATTCAATTTGATCCTGTTAAAAATCTGAGCCCTGGGAAAGGAATTAAGAAATCCCCCCCTCCAAACTGGGAAAAAAAGTGTGATTAATTATCTGGATTAATCCAAGAGACATTTGCTAAATTGAAATCATTTTCAGTGATTTTCATGCATTTTAAAATCCATCTTATATTTTAAGGCTATACAGGCAGAGTAAGTGATCTGAAATTAAAAATACTGTGCTCTAACCCCAACGGACACAGAAGATGAACTTAGGAAGTCAGTTAATACTTGATATTCCATGAATTAAATCATAATATTGTGCTCTTGTCTCTTACAATTCAGAGACGCTGTGAGGTCTATGGAATGCCAAGAAATACATAAAGAAGCCATCACTCAGAAATCTCACTTAACAAATGAAAGCAATATCTATAGAACCATACAGTCACACTGTAAAAATCCAGGCACTATTTCCTGGTAACTGCTGTGAAAATACGACTTTATATCAGCCATTTTAGATCTTAATGACATAAATAATGAGTGGCATTGGAAATGTTTATTAGTAACCAGGCTGTAAACCTATTTGTCTAGGAATAGGCATGAAAAGGAATACCAAGAAAGCTCATGGTAGCAGAAAAACAGAAACAACAACAACAAAGTCACCAAAGAAGTATTCTTTAAAAGAGCATTTTGATTAAAAGCAAGTAGATGAGTGAATTTTCAAGTGTTATCACCCATAAGTGTTATCACTGGCAGTGTTTTACCCATGATGTCCTGATAAGTCCTGAAAGCTGCTCCTTGTCCACATCTGTGCTGTCCACAGCTTGGGCAAAGGAAATACAAGTCCTGTGGCAAACCTATTGTGCTTCCAAATCAGCTACTCAGACGTTTGGAACATACTCTGGTGAATATTTAGGAGAATGTTCTTTCCTTTACTGTAGACCTACACAGGCTTTGACTATTACGAAGTTGTTGGTAGTCTCTGAAAGCTTCACTTAGTCATTCAGAAAGTGCTGCACTCACATAAGCATCCTCAACATCAACAAGTGATAACCAACAAACTGTGAGAGCCTGACAGACAGCGCTGAATCGTGTCTTAAGAGATGGTGACATGAGTGGCATCCTGTTCAGGCTCCACTGAAGCCCCTGCATCAGTGGCACCATCGAAAGAAGCAAGTGAGACCTTCCAACAGATCTCGGCTTGTAGGAACAACTGTACATAAGATGAAAGAGCTTATCAATTTAGAGATGCAAACAGGAAAAAAGCTTCCAATTTATCATGGTAAGTTTCAGGAATGGTAATGTGAAATTGCATTAA